GCCACAAAAGACCCCGCGTCAAAAAAAAAAAAAAAAAAAAGAAAGCTTCCTCTGAGGAGATAGCTCAGTTGGACAGCATTGCCTACCATGTGCAAGGCCTCAGGTTCAGAGCCCAGTACCAATAAAAAGAAAAATGCCAAAATAATCTCCGGTACAAAAAAAAAAAAAAAAAAGAAAGCTTCCTCTGAGGAGATAGCTCAGTTGGACAGCATTGCCTACCATGTGCAAGGCCTCAGGTTCAGAGCCCAGTACCAATAAAAAGAAAAATGCCAAGTATGCTACTGAGGAGGCTGAGGCAGAAGGACCAGAGGTTCAAGGCCAGCCTGGGCAACTGGGACCTTGTCACAAATAAATAATAAAATAAAATTTAAAAAATAAAACATGGGCTATGGATGTAGCTCAAAACTCGCTGGGTTCAATACCCAGTACATTAAAAAAAAAAAAGATTTTGCAGAAAATAAACCCAATGACAATTGTCACTGAACTTGGAGAAGATAAGCTTTCCTAGCAGTCCAGATGTAATTTTATTAGTCAGGGGAGAATTTTGCCAGAAGTTTTGTCACCTAGAAACATTTTAACAGGTTTTCTGGGGGACACAAGAAGAAAGATAGCTGAAGGTCACCTTCTCAAGCAGAGGGGAAAGGATTTGGATAACTTTTCCCACACAGGTTCGCATGGGCATTGCAGGAGTTGTGCGCGACAAGGACACAGAGGAGGGGATTGCTGATGCTGTCATTGTTGTGGATGGGATTAACCACGATGTTACAACAGGTGTGTGTGGAGAGGGGTGGGAAGGGACTGGAGGGCTTTTGGCTGGGACAAAAGTAGAGGATCACCGGGTCCTGACTTTGCCCTTCTTTCTCCTTAGCGTGGGGTGGGGATTACTGGCGGCTCCTGACCCCAGGGGATTATATGGTGACTGCCAGTGCTGAAGGCTACCATGCAGTGACACGTAGCTGCCGGGTCACCTTTGAAGAGGGTCCGACCCCCTGCAATTTCTTGCTCACCAAGACTCCCAAACAGAGACTGAGAGAGCTGCTGGCAGCAGGGGCCAAGTTGCCCCCAGACCTTCGGAGGCGGCTGGAGCGGCTGAGAGGTCAGAAGGATTAATGTCCAGCTGAAGAGAGGAAGAGCCTTGGGCAGGCTGGACCTGTCTAGAACTAAAGGGGAAGAATGGGGAGGGAGGGACACTGTGGAGGAGCAGATGTTCTGGCTTATTAAAGCTACCTGCCATCTTCCTTGTTCTCCCTGTTGTTTGTGGCCCAGGTCCTCGCCAGGGCAGGCCTCAGCCCACCTCTCCATTCCTGTTCTGCCCACATCTGCATGCTCCTGACTCTGGAGACACTGTGTGGAAAGAGGACCCCGCCTGGACTCTGAACTCAGAGCTCACAGAGAAACTCATTTCTACCTGTGAACTTCTGCCACAGGTGCCATTATGTTCTGTGAGCATCTGCCTAGTGCCAAGCAAGTGAGGAGTCGAGGGTTAACGGTGCCCACACCTGCCCTCCTGGGCTTCCTGGGTTAAGTGTGAGGCTTTCAGAGGTGGAGGCAGGTTGCTGTGGAAATCTAGATGTGGGAAAGGTGGCACTGAAGATCTGCAGGGATTCAGTCGAGGATGCAACGGAGATGATGGTTCTAGGAGTTCGGATGGAAGGTGGGCTGGATGTGGGGTTATGGACAGAGCCCAACCCAAGGAGGAGGGAGCCAAGCAGATCAGCTGAGACTGTTTGGATCTGTTTAATCGGCCATTCTCAGAGTGTTGATAAGCAACAGGCTTTGATTAGTTTCTTTCAGACTTGAGGGATTATGTATGAGTGTCTTGCTAGGAAAACCACCCATTCTAAGGATTTCAAGCATAGAAAAAATTAATGCTAGATACTGGAAATGAAGGTCTTAGAAAAGTCAAGTAAGAAAAAGGGAGAAGGGAATTTCACTCCGAAAGCAGGAAGCTGATAACACTCCTGGGCTGGTGCTGCTAAGCTTGTATTTGCTTACGGTGGTACTGGAGCTCACAATCAACATGGTCACCTGTTGCCACCCGAGATCACTTATGGTCACCTGCAATGGCTAGGGCCAGAAATAGAATCTCTCTCTTCCATTTCCTAATCTCTAGAAGTAAACCTATAAAATGTAGGCTCCTAGGTAGAGCTTCCAAGGGGGTCAGAAATGGGGCAAATACTAATGGGCAAAATCTGTCCTAAAGGCAGCATGTAGCATTATGTAAAGTGTGCCTAGTGCTTGGCTACTGCTCTGTTTCTTGAGCTGTCTCTTCTCTCAGTCTTCACCTTTAGACTCATTTAATTACAGTGAGAAAGACTTTTCACTATCAGGTATTGAACCCTTGGCTTTTGCCCTGAGTTCCACTCCACCCTCCTTTTAAATTGAGACTTTTTATTCAGTAGGTCACCCAGCTTGGCTGAAACTTGCAATCCTCCTGTCTCAGCTTCCCAGATTGCTGGGATTACTCAGAGACACTACAATGAGAGAGTTAGTGTCACATTTTCCTGCACCTTTTCTCTCCACCTTCAATTCCTCTTATATAATGTCACTTCTTCAAAAGGTTTTTATTTGTCTAAAATGTACCTAATGAAAACTGTCTAGAAATGCACATCTGTACACACTCATACAAAATACACTTCAGGTTTAAAAAAATGCTATCTGCACTCCTGCACACCTTGTACACCCTTCCAGTAAATACACCCTTACCTGCCAAAGGATCATTATGGCAACTCCCACCTAGTCCAAAATTGCCTACTTTTTGGATGGAATTTCCTGCGTGCTTCTGGGTTTGGCCTCTGATTTCTTGGTTCCCATTTTGGTTTCACTGGATATAATAGTTCTTAGCTGTAGATGACAGAATCACTCTGGATGGTTTAAGAAAAAGGATATATTAAAAGGTTTTAGGAAGTTTACATAATCTCCACGAAAACAAGATGCTGGACTCTATTGCTGCATAATCTCAGCACAACTGGTGTCAGCAAACCCCAGTGAAATTCCCAACCATGTCATGAGGTTGTTGTAGTAGAATTACCATGCTCACCATTGCTGTCTGAGTGGCAGGTATGTTACTAAAGACAAGGTGATAGAAACTTCCATGCTTGTTTTTTTTAATTAAAGAAACTTTTATTAGTGCATGTTAATATTAAATGATGATGGAATTTATTTGGGGAAGTTGATACATGCAACTGATATATCTTAATCTGTTTCATTCCTTCCACGACATTTCCTCCTTTATCCCTTTTCCCATTCCTAGAAGTCTACTCTTCTGCTTTTCTGTCCTCTTTCCTTTGTTTTTGAATTTTATTTGTTTATTTATTGACTTATTTATGCTTTTTAAGGCTTCATGTAAGAGAAATCATGCAATATTTAACTTTCTGAGTCTGGCTAATTTCACTCAATGTGAGGGTTTCTAGTTCTGTCCATTTCCTTACAAATAGCATAATTTCATTCTATTCCATTATGTACATATACCACATTTTAGTCAATTCATCTTTTTTTGGTGGGTGGTACCAGGGATCGAACTCAGGACCTTGCGCTTGCAAGGCAAGTGGGGGAACCACTAAGCTAAATCCCCAGCCCTAATCTATTCATCTTTTGATAGGCATCTAGGCTGTTTCTGCCACTTTGCTATTGTGAATTGTGCTGTAGTAAATAAACGTGGATATGCATGTATAACTATTGTACACAGTCCTTAAGTTTTCAGGGAACATTCCCAAGACTGGTATAGCTGGGTCAAATGGTATTTCTACGTTTAGGCTTTCAAGAAATCTCAATACTGATTTCTAAAGTTTACATTCCCAACAGTTACACTGTTCCCTTTTTACTGCATCCTTAAACATTCATTGTTTTCATATTCTTAATGATAGCTATTCTAACTTGGGTGAGATGGAATCTCAGTGTAGTGCTAATTTGCATTTCTCTGATCGCTAGAGAGGTGGAACATTTTGTAATATACTTTTTGGCCATTTGAACCTCCTTTTGAGAAGTATATACTTAGTTCATTTGCCCACCTTTTAAATTTTTTGATTCATTGTTTCATGGGGGTTAATTTTTAAAAGTTCTTTATGTATTTTAGATATTAATTCTCTATCAGAAGAGTAGCTAGCAAAGATTTTCTTCCACTCAGTGGTTGTTTTCATTGTTAATTATTTTCTTTGCTGTGCACAAGCTTTATAATTTAATGTAGTCATATTTATTGATAATTCATATTCTTTCCAGAGCATTTGAAATCCTGTTAGGAAGTCTTTGCCTGTGCCTATGGCTTCAAGTGTTTCCCCTATGTTGCCTTCTAGCAGAAAGTTTCATATTCGTACCCAGGGATCCATAAATCTCCAGTACCACGAATGACAAAAATATCTGACACTTCCTTTTGCTCATTCTTAGTCCAAGTGGAGGGCTAGTATATCCATCCATTTGGCAGGACCTGAGTTACATGAGGAAACTGAGGAAGAAAAATGTCTGGGAGATTTTGCTTTAGTCTTCTAGCTTCTAAGGTATCAGAAATCAAACAAGGTTGGCATAACCAAAGCAAGGTTGGTGTAAATACTAAGTGAGCCAGTTTATAAAACCTGAAGCACTGTAGAAGATCTACGACTAGGGTTACAATATTATACATTTTTAGGGGATTGTGTTTAAAATGGACCAATAAAGCTGGTCATGGTCTTGCACAACTGTAATCCCAGCGCTTGGGAGGCTGGGGCAGGAGGATTGCAGTGAGTTTGAGGCCAGCCTGGGCTACATAGTGAGTTCAAGGCTAATCTAGGGCTGGGGATTTGGCTCAGTGGTTCTGCCGCCTGACTTGCAAGTGCAAGGGCCCAAGTTCGATCCCGGGTACCAAAAAAACAAAAACAAAACTAAACTAAAAAGGCCAATCTGAACTACATAGTAAGATATTGTCTCACGAAACAACAAGAAAAAATAGACCAATAATTTTATATCTAGTAAAGCTGTTACTCAACGGTTATACAAATACTTTTTCCAGTACAGTGAGCATCATAATAAAAATCTCCAAGCAAATAAGGAAACAACACACCATAAAAATCAGCAGAAATAACACATAGGAGATCTAGACCTGAAAGATTTCATAAATGTGAAACACCAGATGAAAATGATAAAATAATCATATTCACACTGTACAAAGAAAGAAGAGCCATGCTTCAAGACTACTACACAAACAAAAACTATAAAATGAGGTATTTGAAAAGTAATCTAACAAAATTTCTATAAAGTACAATAATATAAATATAAAACTATTACAGTAGGTGAGACACAGAGAGAATTAATGGAGTAGAAGTCGTGTCAGAAGAAAATATCCAAGTCACACAGAGATAGAGGAAACTGTAGAAAGTGATAGAATGTTTTGAAGATATATTATGGAGGAAAAGCTGAGACAGAGTAAACAGGAAGAATGGGAGAGAGCATTCTTGTGGTTTTTTTTTTTGTTTGTTTCAGTACTGGAAATTGAATCCAGAGACTCAGACATCCTTAGGCACTCTATCACTGAGCTACATTCCCAGCCACAAGAGAGAGAAAAAAAACTTTTTTTTTTTTTTTTTTTTTTGTGCCAGGGATTGAACTCAGGTCCTTGTGCTTGTGAGGCAGGCAGAACCACTGAGCTAAATCCCCAGCCCAAGAAAGCAATTTTTGAAGAGATATTTGGCGGGGGGTACTGGGGATCAAACTCGGGTCCTTATGCTTGCAAGGCAGGTGGTGGAACCACTGAGCTAAATCCTCGGCCCTTTGAAGGGATATTAACTGAGTATTTTTCAGAACTGATGATAGATACTAATTTACAAGTACGTAGAAGAATCCCCAAACTCCAAGAAAGATAAACAACTCAATGAAATAAAAGGGAAAAGATGTATAAAAGAAAAAAATATTCATTTTATTAATATTTTAAAATTTTGTATTCAATAAAATTCACCTTTTTAATGTACAGTTATGAGAGTTACATACATAGACTCTTGTGGCCACCACCACTACTACCAGAGACACAGACCCCAAGGAACTCTCCTGTGCTGTTTCTTAGTGTTTAGATACTTCTCCAATCTTGACCCTAGGAAATCATCATCTAGTTTCTGATCCTATATTTTGCTTTACCTAAATGAACTCCCAGGAGAATTAACTCAAAGAGACCCACATTTCAACATACTATAATCACGCTGGGCATGGAGATGCATGCCTATAATCCCAGCGCTCGGGAGGCTGAGGCAGGAGGATCACTGTGAGTTTGAGACCAGCTTGGGCTATATAGTGAGTTCTAGGTCGGTCTCAACTATATAGTGAGACCCTGTCTCAAAAAACCAAAAAACACAACAACAAAAAAACATACTATAATCAGATGGTCAAAAGACAAACAATATTGGTTTTTGTTTTTGTTTTTTTTGTTACTGGGGGTTGAACTCGGGTCCTTGAGCTTGCAAGGCAGGCCACCGAACCACTGAGCTAAATCCCCAGCCCAAGACAAACAATCTTAAAGGCAGGAAGAGATAAGCAACTCATCACAGATAAGTGATCCTTCATAAGATTAACAAGTTACTTCTTATCAGAAGCCACGGAGGCCAGATTGCTATGGAATGACATATTCAAAATGTTAAAGGAAAATAATGTCAACTAAGAATTCTACATGTAGCAAAACTATCCTTAAAAAATGTAGGCGAAGGGCTGGGGATTTAGCTCAGTGGCATCTCACCTGCCCCGCAAGTACAAGGTCCTGAGTTTGATCCCTGGTACTAGGAAAGGAAAAAAAAAAAAAAAAAGGAGAAATTATCACATTCTCAGATAAACAAAAACAGAGAATCCATTGTTGGCAGTCTGACTTACAAAAAGTACTAAAGAAAGTGCTTCGTGCTGAAATGACAGAACACTGGGCAGTAACTTACATCCAGTGGAAGAAGTAAAGATTACTGGTAAACTACATAAGTAAATATGATAGCATAAGTACATTTTGTTTATGACTTTTTCTCCTAGGTGATTTAAAAGACAACTATGTAAAATTATAAATGTGCTTTGCAATTCAATAATAAAAAGACAAATTATCCAATTAAAAGGTGATAAAGGATCCAAAGAGACATTTTTTTCCAACAATATCTACAAATTGCCAATAAGATTAAGAAAAAAATGCTTCAGCCAAGATAGATTATGTAAAGGCATAAATTTCCAATGATGAATGTCATTATATTGTACACTTAAAATGTATCAATAAATTTAATGAAGAAAAAGAGCAAAGAAAAAAGAAATGCTTCTAGGAAAAAAAATCAAGGAAATGTAAACACAGCCACCATGAGCTACTACTTCATAGATGGGCATAGTAAAAAAAAGTCAGTAATAACAACTGCTGGTGAAGATATGGAGAAAGAGGAACCCTTGTATTCTTTGGTAAGAATACAAAATGTTAAAACTTTGGAAAACAGTCTGGAAGTTCCTCAAACAATTAAACAAGCATTTCTAGCTGGGCGTGGCACAGGCCTGTAATTCCAGAATCCAGGCCACTAAGGCAGGGGAATTAACTGGCAAACTCAAGGCCAGCCTGGGGTACACAGTGAGGTCAAAGTCAGCCTAAACTAAGTAGTGAGGCCCTGTCTGAAATCAACAGAGATTCAAACAAACAAACAAACAAAATTTTTCGTTTCACCCAGTGATTGTAAGTATGTACCCAAGAACAATGAAAATCTGTACACACAAAAGTTCATAGAGGATATATTCACAATAACTACAAGGTGGCCACGACCCCTATCTAATGCCATGTTCAAAAATTAACTCAGATGTATCAAGACTTAAATATAAGAGATGAAATCACATAACTCTTACAAGAAATGTAGGCGAAAGCTTCATGACATTGGCAACAATTTTTTGAATATGACAAAAAAAGGCACAAGCAACAAAGGTAAAAGTAAATTGGATTAAGTGAAATTTTAAAACTTTTGTTCATTTAAGGCACTATCAATAGAGCAAAAGGGCAACTCACAAAATGGGAGAAAATATTTACAAATTACATATCTGATAAGGCTAACATTCAAAGCATACAGAAATCTCAAAACTCAAGAACAAAAATGAGAAACAACCCAATTCGAAATGGACAAAGGCCTTGAAAAGAGAGTTCTC